ACCCCCAAAGCTGGGCACCGGTGGCTCATAACTGCAATTCTAGCTACTCAGAAGGCTGAGATCTGAGAATCTTGGTTCAAAGCCAGCTCAGTGAGAAAGTCTTATCTCCACTCCTATCTCTTATCTCCAATTAACCACCTGAAAACTGGAAGTGGAACTGTGGCTCAAAGTGGTGGAGCACTAGCCTTGAGCAACATAGCTCAGAGACAATGCCCAGGTCCTGAGTTCAAGCCCCAAGACCAGAGGGAAAAAAAAGCACTCCCAGAGACTAGGACCTTTGTTCAAGTGATAGAGAGCTTGCCTATAATTTACAATTGCTGGGTTCAATATCCAGTGCCACCAAAATAAAAACAAAACCCCACATATCCAGTTCATTAATATATAGAAAAACAGAACATGACCAATGATTGGGCCCCCAGGTCACATCTGACAGAAACACACAAAGATGCTCTTAGGAATGTTCGTGAATAATTAATGCACTGTTTGTGATGATCCCAAGCTGGAAACTACACTTCTGTCCATAACATAGGCCAGCTTAATTCAGGCACATAAAAGCCTCACAGCATTGAAGTGAACCATCTACAACCACACACATGAAGGAAAGGCAGTCAGACACAGAAGAGCCTTCACCGAGTATTCCATGTTACCATGTTCAAAGCCCAGCCGAGCTAACCTGTGGTGTGGTCACCCTTGGGGGCAGTGGGAGAGCTTGAGGAATCTCTGTTCTGTTCCTTGATCCTCCTATTGGTGACATGGGTGTGTTCAGAGATGGAAAGTTCACAAACAGTTCTACAATGACCTGGGGTTGAGTCATGAGCAGTGAGATGAACTCAACCCTCTGTACTTCAGGGAATATTTTAAAAGTGCATATTTGAATTGAGGAATTGAGGTGCACAATGACCATGTGTTAATTCACTCAAAATATTTTGCAGCTGTTGGAAAAGAGGAGAGTAATCAGAACACACCACTCAAAGATGTTCCGAACATGTTCCTCCACGTCTTCCTGCCCACTCCATGCTTGGGGTAAGAATAAATTCTCAGGACTTCGCATGAATGAATGTAGGATGTGAAGGCAACAAGGAAGGCCAGCTGTAGGAAGCATGGAGTGCTCTGGGCTTGTATTCTCTTTGGGGTCACTTCAGATTTTTCAAGTCAAGCCATGGGGCCATCTGTTGCCTGGTGAAGGTCGAAGCATGGAGAATTGGGAGACATGTCCCCATCTGGCTGTATGACCTCGGCAGACTCGTGGCCCCTTTCTTGGCCTTGATATCCTCATCTGCCCAATGGGAATCGGCTTTCTGCCTTATGCGGCCATGTAGGAGGATGAAGGGAGGGGTGCGGGGAGAATCCTATGAATGGGAGGGATTATTCTCTGGGTCAGGGGAGGACGGGGAGGGAGGCCTTGCTTCCACCTGCCAAGCCCACAAAGGAAGTCGGGGGAGGAGTTAGAGACCACCCAGGCCAGCACACAGCAGCTATGGAACAGGAGTAGAGGCGTGGTAGCCTGGATCACTGCACAGGCTAGAGCTGGTAGAACAGCCACCCAGGCTGCCTAGGGAATTGGGATACTTAGTGGCTGCTCTTCTGTGCTTTCCCTGCCCCTGTGCAGCAGCTGCAGCCTGTTAACGTCTAAGCCCCTAGCAGCACCCTCCCACCCCCACCCAATACATACAGCCCCCAGGACAGTGGCCACCATCCTCTTTCAACTCATGTGCTCCCATTAGAGCCAGAGGGGCTCCCCCGGGCAAACCCCATCAGGTCTAGGCTTGGTCAACCTCCTCCCAGAACTCCCATGGAGCTGAGAACATCACCCCCACCATCTTTGCAGACAACACCCAATGCCAAACTTCTGGAATGGAGCTAGGAACATGGAACAGAAAGGGTCTGCCTTGATTAGAATTCTAGCCCATCTCATTCATTCACTCTGAAATGTTTATTGAGCATCTACTCTGGACAGTAACTGTTCTAGACGTTCAAGATATATCAGTGAACAAATGAGATAAAAATTCCTTTCCTCTGTCCAACACTGGTGGCTCACACCTAGCTACTTGGGAAGCTGAGAAGACTGAGGTTCAAAGTCAACTCAGGCAGGAAAATCCCTGAGACTCTTATCTCCACTTGATTACCAAAAAGCCAAAAGTAGAGCTGTGGCTCGAGAAGTAGAGTGCTGGCTTTGAGCAAAAACACAAACAAACAAGCAAAAAAGCAACAGCAACAACGAATCTCAGGAACAGCACCCAGGCCCTGAGTTCAAGCCCCAGGAAAGGCACCAAAAAGGAAAAGGACCAGAAAGGGGAGGGGAGTGTTGTTCCTGTTGTCCCAGACTCCAAACGACACAGCCCCAGGAGTCACGTCCCTGACTGGGCTGGCTGAAGCAGGGACATGCCCCAGTGAGGTTAGGGAAGACTGAAGAACCATCCTGCCCTGACACTGAATCATCTCTTCAAAATCCTGGCCATGTGGCCATCAGCCTCAACATACCTGTTTTCTGTGATGGGAACTGGGTCCCACAGTTAGCTCTGTTCAGCCCTACATTCACTCACTCGCTGGGCACCATAGTGTACCAGCGACTTGGTTCTAGAGAAACTAGCTCCATTGTAGAATGTGTGCAGAGACCCAAGATCCTCCTCCTCTGACCTCATAGGTCACCACTCCTGCTGCCCAAGGACGTGACCCTGACGGCTGATGGCAGCAGCCTCCTCTTGGGTCTCCCACGGAGGGGCAAAGACGCTGGGAGATGCAACCACTAATTCTTCTTTCTTCTTGCCAAAGGTCTATGCCTGCAGCCTGTAACTCAGTGGTGTTCTCTACTCACCCTGAAACAGGAAGCAGAGACAAGCAGTAGCCACAGGCATTTACAGCAAGCATCCGGGGAAAGCTTTGTCTGTTTGGGTGGGGTTCTGTCAGCCCTTTCTGTCTTGCTCTGACTGCATCTCCTACATTCTCCCCGTCACTCTTGTTCTGCCTGCACTAGCCTCAAACAAAGGCTCATCCCAGGGTCTTTATACTTGCTGTTCCTGATGCCTGCAATGCAGGCCACCAGCAATCCACATGGTCTACCCTTCTCCTCCACATCTTGCTTCAATGCCTCCTCCTCAGAGAAGCCTTCCCCGACCACCTTCTAGCCAACAGCTCCTGTGTCATTCCCCTCCACTTGTCTTGCTGTTTTTTCTCCATAGCACTCATCATCACCCAATATATTTATTGATCCTTCATTTGTTTGTTATCGGTCTCACCTACCAGCCTGGGAGCTCTCTGAAGGCCAGCAATTATGTCTGGTTTTGCTTCTGATGAATTTGATTCCCTATTACACATTTGATGAAAGAGAACTAAGCAACTTAAGGGCAGTGATGGGAGGGAGAGAATGAGAGAGAGAAAAAAGGAACAGCTTAAGCAAAAGAAATGTACAATTTGGAAAAAATAGTTGTAGTGTCCAAGTTTGTAGAGTTCATAAGCTTTATAGACCATGATTGTGTTTGTGACTTTAAGTCTTGTTATCCCACAATACTGTGACGTTTGTAAAATTTTTGTAATCACTTAATCTCAATAAAGAAAAAAAAAGTTCTGAAACCTAAGTGATCTCAGAGTCCTGAACCTGACCATCTTGAAGCTGTAACAACCACAACCCTTACTTCCAATAGCCAGGGCTGGTCTCTGGGGCCTGTCACAGCAAAAAACCTGCTAGCGTGGAAATTTGCCTCAATCCCTCCCATCCAGGTCCATCTGGCAGGGGTCAGGGGTGGGTCTTCTTTTGGCCCCAAGGTAGAAGAGCTCCAGGGCTAGGGCCCAGGCTCTGGAGAATGTCTGGTAAGGCCTATCTTTCTTTGGCAAGTGTCCCCACTTCTTTCGCAGGGCCTGTGCCTGCATTTCTGAAGCAGAAGGTGTTTACACAAAACATCCTGGGTTTGGCGACAAATTCACCCTCCATGAAGAATCCTTAATGAATCTCCTCTCTCTCTATGCCAGGCGGCTGCAGAAGAAACTAGCTCTGTCTCTCTGAGTCCAAGGCAGCCCAAGGCCGGGCAAAGAGAGATGCTGTAGGCACTGCCGGGACCGCAGCTCAGGGAAGACAGCTGTGGGATGGGGGAACAGAACCGCTCCAGATCCAGGTTTGCATCCAACTGGCTTTGTGAGGGGGAATAGCCCTTCTGGTCTCAATCTGCAGCTGTGTAATGGAGCCATGACCATCTGGTCTATACAAAAACGGTGGTGAATTCAAGGAAGACAGTGTGTTAAGAGCCTAAGTTACCAGGAGTCAAAAGAATAAAAGGCCATTATCAGAGAGGCAGGAGGTCAAAGTCCTCACTTTCCTCTGCATCTTGGGCTTTGCAGCTATACAATGAGAGGTTTGGGTAAAAAATATCTCTAACCCCTCCCCGCTTCATCTCCCTCCCCCTCCCCCTCCCCCCTCCCCGCCCCCGGCCGTGGTTCTTTGGGCATCCTCAGCGTGCCGCCTCTGGGAAGTCCTCCTGGATCCTCTGGCACACATTGATTCTCTTTTCAGCCCTCGTAGGGCTGTTTTTCTGTGCTGGCATCGTTCACTGTTCCATGTTTCATTGTTCATTGTCCATAGTTTTCCACCTCCTTCTGTGGGTCCCCATCAATTGGTTGGCTCAACAAAGGGTTGTAATAAAGACTGTGGTCAGATGAAAGGTTTACTGCTGCTTTTCCACGCTCTTATCACTACCCTCCATAGTATGTAATTGTTTTCTCATTCATTGTCAATGCTTCCCACTAGGATGAACGAGGGCAAAAGTGTTGCTTTGTCCGCTGCGCCTGCATTCTCAGCATCAGAAACCGCACACAGTCTGTGCTCAAGCCGCAGGTAGAGGCAGTGCGGCGGACAGTACCCTCCGCGCCCTGCAAGGGGCGCTCTTGCCCCACCCCAAGGCTAGGCCCCGCCTCTTGCGTCCTACCGACGCGCGTGCGCTGGTGCCTGCTTGACGACATTCTTCTCATTGCGCAGGCGCGCCGGAAGCCCAGCGCAACGCATGCGCAGAAGGAGTCCGAAGCGTCGGCTCTGGCGGAGCCTAACTGGAAGCCGCTCGGGGTCCTGACCGCGGGCAGAGCTGGTGCGCGCCATGCTGTCCCCGGAGGCGGAGCGGGTGCTGCAGTACCTGGTAGAGGTGGAGGAGCTCGCGGAGGAGGTGCTGGCGGACAAGCGGCAGGTGAGAGGCGGCGCGGCAGGGCCGCGGGGAGGGGCCCGGGCCGCGCGGAGGGGCCCGGCGGGCATCCCGAGCCCCGCCGCCGGCGCAGCCCTTCCTTGGTTCGGCCGGTGTGAAGCGAACGCCTGCTCCGTGCTAGGCGCTCCCTTTCCCCTCTGCTCCTGCTCCCCGGGGCTGGTTCGGAGACTCGAGGCCTGGGGACAGCTGTGATGGGCCGGGTGAGGACATGGCGAAGGTGGGACCCCGGCTAGGCAGGGCCTCGGGGACTCGCACAGGCGGTTTGGGGTGTGGTGCTCATTCAAGGGCAAGTCAGAGAGTCGAGGATGCTGGTGATGCAGGATTCGGGGGGTTAGGATTGGAAAGGAACCGGGCAGCTGCTGCGTGGAGGAGTTTTATAGGGGCGCAGAGGTAGTGGCAGGGTCTGAGACCCTCAGGGGGCCGCTGCCACCGACACAGGTGCCGGTGATGGGGAGTGAACGAGTGGCCAAGGAATTTTGGAGTTGGACGCAGGAGGCAGTGTCCTGCGATGGGGAAAGGGCCTAAGGAGTCCCTCTTGTCTCCATTGAGTAGGTTGGGGGAAGCACCTTCTAAATTAAATACTGTATCACGGTGTGCCCAAGGAGAATAACAGCAGTTAAAGTTTGCCTAGTGTATTAGGGCTCGCCTGTCGTTTCAGCACTCTCTGAGGCTGAAGACCTTGCAGGTCAGCCTAGGCTACATAGCGAGACCTGTCCCAAAGCACTAAAGGAAAAAAAAAGTTCAGGTACCTCACCTATGTCAGGTCCTGCTAAACACATTTAGTTCTTGTCCAGAAACCTACAAAGTAGGTGCTCTTGGCTTTTCAGAGGACATAAGATAAAATAACACAACAGTTAGCTGGCAGCAGGATTCACACCTAGGTGTTTGAGCCCCACAACTGTCACTCAAGCAGTGCTCTGTACTGCCACCGCACTCCTTACACCAATGAAGTAATGAGCATACTGGTCTGCTCCTGGTTTCAGATTGTGGACCTAGACACCAAAAGGAATCAGAACCGAGAAGGCCTGCGGGCCCTGCAGAGAGATCTCAGCCTCTCTGGTAAGTTGGGACTTCCTCACTGTAGCCCTGGAGGCCTAGTCAGCCTTCTTTTGAAGGCCTATGTTGTTCCTAATAGAAACCAGGCAGAAGGCCACAGAAATGACTCAGTCTCCGGCAATTAAAACAGCTTGTGAAGATGAGGGAGCAAATGTTGCAGGTCTGACACAGACTGGCTCAGGATTTTAGCTGCTCACTTGAGTGACAGGCCATTAGCTCCTTGCTCATCGATGACAAGTTGACATTGGAGAGTGCTGGCAGCATGTGAAAGTGACGCTTTCGCTTTTGTAATACAGATAAGAAAAAGTGTAAGATATATAGCTGTAAATTGTGAGAAAGCTAAAGATGGAATTGGACATGGGTGGATTGGAAACATCCAGGAGGAAGGGTGGGATGAGTTCTTTAATGGGACTACTGGTGTGACAGTAAGCAAACAGGGAGGAGCCTGTAGAAATGAGCAACAACTAGGCCGTAATCAAGGGCTTTGGGGGCCAAAAGAAGATGTCTGTGTTTTGTTTAAAGTGCACTTGCATGTATAAAATCTTACACGTAGCAGCAAGACTCCATAAAACCCAGATCCCCATGAACTTTCCAGTATCACTCCCTCATCTCCTCAAATTGTTGATTCACACTGGTCTCTTCATTATTCCTGACACCTAGCATACTGCAGATCTTTATCATTTCCTCGGTCCCGTTTCATTTCCTTAGATGTCTTCAGGGCCATACCCTCACTTTTTTCAGTTCTCTGTCCAAGTGTTAACATCAGTGAGGCCTCAGATAAACTGGTGTAGCTCTGGCATCAGTAACAAGTTCCTCCCCGACTCCAGCATTCCCTGTCCCCCTTAGCCAGCTTCATTTCTCACTACAGTTCTTAGTACTGTCTGACAAATCATTTGTTGATCCCATCTTTCACTATGAGGGTAGGAACTGTCTTGTCCTGCTATGTTCTCAACATCTAAAACAATGCCTGACAGGTAGTAGGTGCTAAAAAGCATACCTGTTGAACAAATGATCATATGATCGCTTGTTATTTCAGAAGATGTGATGGTTTGCTTCGGGAGCATGTTTATCAAGATGCCTCATTGTCAGACAAAGGAAATGATTGAGAAAGGTAGGACCTGGGGATGGGTCAGGAATGGCACTGCTTTTCCCAGAGCTGAGAGGCAGATTTTGGGCAGTTTGATGGGCGGTGGCTGTGTTACAGAGTTCAGATTGCTTAGGATTTTCATGCCTGATCTGCCACTGTGGGTTATTTCCTCATCTGAAATTTGGGAGACATCTATGTAACAAAGTTGTGAAGCTAGATAAAATGGTATGTGTATATCTAACATAGTCTTGCTTGTCAGTGAGGAACAAGTTGGATTGCCCAGCAAGTCGAGGCTCATGGAAATGTGGGTCTGTTTCTCACATAAGGAGTTGCCCAGAGGACTGACACAGCTGCCTGGCAGTGTCACCATAGCATATTCTCGTCGCCATTGTGCCACCCTCACAGTAGTGGAGTCCTTGTGCCCATGTGCCAGGTTTCAAGGGAAGGATAAAAAGCTTTCTCCCTTTCTCCATATGTGACCTTTGCCTTCTGTTTGAAAAGAAAGACATCCTGCCAGTATTTCACTATGGCTCCTCAAAGCTGTAAGGGAACCTGGACCAGTGAGCTTTTAATTTCTGACCCCTTACAGTTGACATAGTTGAAAAATGGAGATTGGGGGACAACAGATGTCTAGGGCCTGCCACTGCCTGGGCACTTAATATGAATTACTTAAGGCTCCCAAGCTGAGAGATTCTGGCTGTTTTTGAGATGTATAAAGGCACAGAAGCTGCAAATGGTTCTTGGCTGGGAAAGGGCAGGTTAGGCATAATTTCTCCTGCATATCTGACCCTTTTTTATCTCTGCAGGCTTCTCTCTTACCCCTCCCTGCTTGCTTACTCAGCCATAACCACTAGCCTCATCAAAGAACCCATGCCATCCTTGCTGGATATTCTCACTCAACACCCATCTGTGTCCAATTCCATAAGACAGTGTTTCTCCTGTCTCTGTTTATTGATTGATTGATTGATTGATGCTGGTCCTGTTGCTTGAACTCAGGACCTGCGTACTGTCCCTGAACTCTTTTGTACAAGGCTAGTACTCTACCATTTGATCTACAGCTCCACTTCCAGCTTTTTGGTGGTTAATTAGAGATAAGAGCCTTCCTGGGGCTTCAAATCACAATCCTCAGATCTCTTGAGTGTCTGGGATTACAAACATGAGCCACTGGCACCTGGCTTTCATACCTTTCAAACCAAAATTCTAATAGAAGAAATTGGATTTAACTTGGAGCAGAACTTTCCAGCTATTCTGTTGAGATATATACATGGATTGTGTTTTTACCTTTGGCAGGTGTTACTGTATATGCAAGGTAGCTTTGGACAGGCATCACTGCTTAGATTCAGGATCTCCTAGGCCCTACTGGCCCATAATTGTGGTCTAATCACTATAGCTACAAGGGATCTAGGTCACTATTAGGGTTATCAAGGACTGACACAGGCTAGACAAGCTCATAAGACACCTCCTTATTTACAGTGGGAAATAGAATCATTGCCCAGGCATGAAGCTTGGTCAGTCAGAGCTTCTCCCTGTCAGAAAGTGTACAAATCTGAGGGAAGGCTGTCTGCCCATAACATCACTTGTAGCTGGTAGAATGTCACAACAGTTGTTCATTGATTATCAAACTTGCTAATAAGCAGGCTCCATTTTGTGTTGATGATTTTCAAGGTATGATCTTGCTTTATGCCCAGGCCAGTGTGCATGATGATCCTCCTATTTGTATGTCCTTGTGTCACTGGGGATGGAAGGTGCTTGCCACTGTGCCCAGCCAGTTGAGATCTAGTCTCAGGAACTTCTTTTAGCCTGGGGCTGGTCTTGAATTGTGATCACCTGATCTTTGTTTCCAAAGTAGCCAGGATTACAGGCTATTGTGCTCCATTACACACTTTGAATAGTGAAATAAAAATCAGTGAGCCAAAAGTTGGGGCTGGGTACTCAAGTTCTGTCCAGGATTGCCTCTGGTATAGCCTTGTCCTCTGCCCACCTCTTTCTTCAGATCAGGACCACCTGGATAAGGAAATAGAAAAACTCCGAAAACAACTTAAAGTGAAGGTCAACCGCCTCTTTGAGGCTCAAGGTATATTAGCCTGGGGGAACTGGCAACCATGGGTGGGGATGGGGGGAACGAACCATCAGTATGTACTCTTGAAGGGCAGCAGGGAACAGCCCCTCAGCAGTGGAGATTTAGCTGGGGCTGAATGTGAATGGCACTGGAACAGTAGCAATGGTTATCTGTAGCCACCCATAGGTAGAGCAGCCTGGGAGGTTTGTGGGTCTTATTGCTGCTTTTCTAGACCCCAGGAGGTGCCTGGGATGATCTCTCATCACATGCTGGAGTGTGGTGTGGGGATCAGGCTAGCTTACCCTGAGGAAACTCAGAAAGCCTTAATCTGGTGGTCAGGGTCAGAGCTAAAATTCTAAATAAACCCAGGCAGTGTGAGCAGGTCACAGTTGTGGTAGATTTGGGGGTTTCTGGGTGGGAGTCATGACTGCAGGTTCCTGACAGTCGGGATCAGTGTGGATGTGCACCATCCCAGGCATTATGGAGTCTGAGGCCCATCAGTCAGACCTAAGGCTGAATTTGACAGCACTCATGCAGTGTTAGCCGCTGGCCTGGGGGTGGGGGTAGAGGTAGGCCTGGGTCTAGAACCAGCAGGATGTTCAGCTTGCTCATGGAATCCATGAATCTTCTTCCTCCAGGCAAACCGGAACTGAAAGGTTTTAACCTGAATCCCCTCAACCAGGATGAGCTCAAAGCTCTTAAGGTCATCTTGAAAGGATGAGATTCAAGTGTGAAGATGGGGGAACCTATTGCCAGCACCCCTCTGGACAGGAGGACCTGGGTGTTCAAACCTTGAGACCTAGAAGACAAAGACACTTTGTGTCTGTGGTTCCTCTGCAGAAGTTCTTTTTGTAGTTCTCAACTGCTTGGTGGTCGCAGGAGGGATCCCTCAGCCTGTCCCTGCCTGCCTGCCTGGCCATCAGGACTTGGTGGTCACAAGACCTATTGACAGGCCTTGGCAGCTGCTAGTAGGTGTGTGGGGGTGTGGGAGCCACCACAGCAGGCATTTCTCAACAGTAGCCTGCTGTTCAGATGGCCTCAGCAGGGAGGGAACAGAGCAGGAGCTTCATTTGGGGTTCTCTGTTCCTTTTCACCCTGCTAGAATATAGCAGGAGGCCGGCAGGTGCCTCTTAGTGCTCCATGTTCATCAAGCTTTTGCAGCAGACACAATTCTTCCCTGCTGCCTCTGGCTTTGCCCTTTGTCTTGCTGCCTTCTGGAGCAGGGGCTGCTTATCCATTGTGGCTGTTCTTGAGTCAGGAGGCCTTACAGGGTCCTGCCATGGGGCTTCCTCCTTATGGGCCTCACAGGGAGTGCACTCCACTGCCTCTGCAGGGCCTGGCCAGTGCTGTCCCGAGTCCCAGGCACCTTCCTGGTCTGCAGTCCTGATGTGAGGGCTGAATTGTGCTTTCTATTCACTGAGGGTTCGATAAGTGTTACCCATGCAGATGAACAGCTTCTAGTCACCTTGTTCAGCCCAGCATCCTTGTATGGTACCACCTATGAAAAGATGTAGTGCTGCCTTGAAATGCTGCCAGGACTGGCACATGGCAAAACTGAAGGGTGGGAGCATTTTGCCAAGTCTGTCCCAGACCACAAACCTACATCTTAGCTTTGTTTTGTTTTTGGTGCTGGCCCTGGGACTTGAGCTTTTCAGCTCACTGTCCCTGAGCTTTTCAGCTCAAGGCTAGCTCTCTGCTACTCTGAGCCACAGCTCCACATCTTGCTTTTTGGTAGTTAATTGGAGATAAGAGTCTTACAGACTTTTTTGTTTGGCCTGGCACTTCTTGAGTTTTATACTAGTCCCCGTGTTCTTTCCTGTAGTAGGTGAGCAAGAAGAAGCTCCTTTTCCATCCACAGAGGACTGGTTCAGGGATCCACGTTCCTGTGGGGAGTTCTAGACAGTGTGGAAGCTCCTTGAAGACTGGATTGGGACAAGATGCACTGAGAAAAGCCAGGGCAGGACAGCGTCTCATCACCTGCTTGTAGACTTGTTCCCTGAGGACCACAGCTGCTGGGTTGGGACACAAGGGTAGAAGGGAAGGAGCACTAAACGGTACCTGCCGGCCTCCTGCCGGTACTCTAGCAGGGTGAACAGAACCCCAAATGAAGCTCCTGCTCTGCTCTGCTGAGGAGATTTGAACTTTAAATCCTGTGAGTATGGCATGTTTTAAAATACAAATGTAAAAATATAGAGAAGAGCAGAACCCACCTTAGTACATGCTGTCTTGTATAACTGCCTGGCTTAGAGTTTCTCCATCAGAACATCATCCCAAAAATGCATCCAAGTCAGAGTGCCTAGCTATCTCGTGCACCTCTTTGGGGTTTCTTGTTTGAAGTTGGAAGCTGGGGTTTTTAAAATCAGAAAGCTAGGACTGACAGCAAGATGGTGTGGACTGCCTTCCCAGTCCTCACCTTAGCCATGGGAGAAATGGGCATGCGCTGACCACCATCATCTCATGGATGATAGTCAGGAGGGTCCATGGTGTCCTTCTCTGACACAAGGTTGGGTATTGCAGAGGAGAAGATGGGTTCTGGGCTCAGCACATTCTCAGGTTCCCAGGAAACACTCTTAACTGCTTTGCAAGCATGCACAAGACAAATTCCCTAGACCCAGGGACCCTTTCTGCCGGCCGAGATGTCCAAATGCCAACATTGCAGCCAGCAGCCTCCCCTGAGCCAGGCCCAATGCCCAGTGACTCCAAGGAAGGCCTATACTCATTTATTAGGTGTGATCTCTGAGTGACAGAACTCCCTGCCCTTGTCCTCATTGGCCCAGTCACCAGGGCCTGTCTAGGTTAAACCCATCCAGTCCTAGGGATTGGCTGCCTCCTGGTGCAAAGGTGCACAGGGCCCTGGGAGATGCAGGGCGCTGGCCACGCAGCAAGCTGCAGCTGCTTAGCCAGCAGAGCTGCTGCCAGTGAGAAGGTAAACACTGCGAGGTGCGCTGTACTGCAGGGAACCGGGAAAGGCCTCGCCGCACCTACCAGGGCCTCCTCCCACCTCAGCTGGGTCAGCTGGGGGTTTTCTTCTGCACTTGAAGGGAGTGGAACAGCTGCCTCAACTGTTTTTTCCGGTCGTTGATGCAGCCTGAAAGAGAAGTGGGGTGGTTGGCAGGAGGGCATGTCCTGGGCCAAGGGGGTAAAGGGGTTTGTGTGCCCTTAGCTGTTAAGCAGAGACAGCAGGAGTCTCTTGAAGCCACAAAAAGCTCATTCCAGCCCTGCCCTGCCCTCCAGCAGGTCATCACTGGAAGACCAGCCTTGTTCAGAGAGCCCTGGGAGCATCAGCAAAGGCTCTTAATCCATCCCACACTACCTTGCCTCCTGGTTTTGCTCAGTGAATGCATAAGGTAGCACAGGGCCTGGTGTCTAATGGAGTGCGCTGTCAGCTTTCTTTCCTGACAGGCCCTGCTAGTGGCCCCTGGCCACACAGTCTGTGGAGTGGCTACCTCCACCTTCACCTGCAACCTGCTACCTGCTGGCCCTCAGAGCTGGTTGATAGGGCAACTCCAGGGCCATTTAACCTTGATGACACCCATGCTGCTGGGGCACTTGAGTATCTGTAGCCTCAAGTGGGAGGCAACTATCATCCCAGCACCTAAAACCCCAGCCTTGCCTCTAAGGTGCTCACCAGCCTCAAGGCTTCACTGAGCTCAGCTAGAAGGTGCACCACAAACCTCCCCAGGATTTTGGTTTGCTTTTGGTTCTGGTCCTAGGCACTGTCCATGAGCTTTTGTGCTTAGGGATGGTCCACCACCACTTTGAGCCACAGCAAGCGTGATGTCCTGAGTTCAAACCTCAGTATTTCCCAAAAAACAAGACAACCAGAAAACTGATGTCTGTCAGAGGTAAACATACAGGTCTGGTTGGATTTTGAGGATCAAAAGTTTCAAAGCCAGCTTGGGCAGCAAAGTCTGTGAGATTCTTATCTCCAATAAACTAGTCAGAAAAAGCCAGAAGTGGCACTGTGGCTCAAGTGGTAGAGGACTAGCCTTGAGCAAAAAGGAGCTTAGGATAGTGTCCAGGCCCAGAGTTCAAACCCCAGGACTGGCCAAAAAAAGGGTGAATATATTCTGTTTTTCCAAAAATGCATGAGATTGTTAATGATGGTTTCACTTGGATGATTCCACCACCACCCCCATTTTCTCTTTAGTTTTCAAACATTCTACAGGGAGTGTGAATAGCTGTTACAATCAAGGTAACTTCACATTTTAAAAATCAACTTTAAGCCTGGTGTCAGTAGCGCACGCCTGTAATCTAAGCTACTCAGGAGGCTGAGAGCTGAGGATTGTTCAAAGCTAGTCTGGGCAGAAAAGTCCATGAGACTCTTATCTCCAAAAAGCCACTCAGTAAACCGGAAATGTTGCTGTGGCTCAAGTGGTAGAGCCCTTGCCTTGAGCTGAAGAGCTGATGGACAGTGCCCAGGCCTAGAGTTCAAGACACATGACCGACAAAAACAAAAAATCAACTTTAGTGATGTGCTGATGCCTCATGCCTGTAATTCTAGCTACTCAGGAGCTGAGATCCACGAATCACAGTTCAAAGACAATCCAGGCAGTCCCTGGGACCCTTCTCTCCAACGAACCACCAGGAAACCAGAAGTATTACTGTAACTCAAAGTGGTAGAGCACTAGCCTTGAGCAAGAACTCAGGGACAGTGCTCAGGCCCCAAGTTCAAGCCCCACGACCAACAAAAATAAATAAAAAACAACTCTGGACTTGAGTTCCAGAGTTGTCCTCATATTACGTATATTTTGTTTGTTTTCTGATAAAGTCTTTTGAAATCGACCTTTTAACATTACTAATAACATCACACAGTGTCCTAGGTATATATACAAGTGATCCCATGTCTGTTTTACAGAGATTAAGTCTTGCCCAAGATTACACAGCTGCAGTGAATCAGGTGCAATTCAATTTCTCTGGTGCACCAAGCTATCTAGACACAGAGCACCTCCCATGCCAGTTGCAGGCTCCCACTCCCCCTCCCCCAACATACCCAGATGTGTGTTGGTCACAAAGGTTCCTATCCCTGACAGGTCTGGCGTCCCCTCCTCTCTGCTGACAGGGCCATCATTCCACATGAGGTCAAAGCCCCCGACTCGCTTTTCCCTTCCTGTGAGCCTGGACAGGCAAGAGACACAAGGGTTAAAGAAGATGCTGCTTTGCCTGACGCTGATGGTTCATACCTGTAATCCTAGCTACTCAGGAGGCTGAGATCTAGAGGATTGTAGTTCAAAGCCAGCCTGGACAGGAAAATTGTGAGACACTTTTCTCCAATTAACCACCAGAAAACCAGAAGTGGCGCTGTGGCTCAAAGTGGTACAGCACTAGTCTTGGCATAAAGAGCTCAGGGGCAACACCTGAGTTCAAGCCCCATAAGAAAGAAGAGGAGCTGGGAAGGTGGCTCCGTGGTAGAGCACTTGCCAAGCATGCATGAGACCCTGGGTTCGATTCCTCAGCACCACATACACGCTCAAGTGGTAGAGCGTTAATCTTGAGCTGCAGAGCTCAGGGACAGCACCCAGGTTTAGAGTTCAAGACCCACGACTGGCAAAAAAAAATGGGAGGGAGAGAAAGAAGATGTATCTGATGGAGATCTCAAGCCAGGCCATCCTGGTCCTGAAGCCCACTGTTGACCACTTTGGCCCAACCAGTCCTGTTTCTTCGGGTCTCTGGGGGTTGTCTGTGTGTGTCTGTGTGTCTGGGTTTCCCCGAGGCCCCCACACTTGCCCCTGGAAACATGCTGCTCTTTGTGATTTATGGTTTAAGTCTGCCTTCCTCCGCAGACCCCAGTTCCATGAAGGCAGGAACTAGGTCACGTCATGTTTGGCTTGGTGCACAGCAGGGCTCAAATATGTATGGAATGAATAGTGGATGTCACATTCCTCCACTCCTGTCTGCCTCAGTTTTTCCTGTAGGAACCTCTCCCTTCCCTCCCCTGTCACCTGGGAAGTGAGCATAAGATGTAGGCGTGGTCAAGCAGGCACAAGGAGTGCTTCAGGGATGGGCATGTGACCTGGTCTCAGCAAGGACAATTTCAAATTCTGGGGAATAAGTGGAAGAAAACTTATATGGTAGGAGGGAAGGTGAGATGGGGGGTAGGGAGAAAGAACATTTAAGTATATACCAGAACAAGTGTGAGTACACAGGCACATGGCAGGGGGCAGGCAAACCATCACTGAGCACCTGAATTTGCCCCTTCCTAAAGCCTGCCCCCAACTCTTTCCACTGTATGCACATCGTCAGAGCTTATTGCTTATTAGCCTCCTACCAGGCATCTACTGTGACCCAGGCGCTTCCCAGTGCCTTGTGTCCATAAATGAATCCCACCACCCTGAGAGATCCTCAGGTCTCCTATTTTACAGATGAGAAAACTGAGGCTTCCAGAGCCCCACAGTCATAGGGTGGCGGTGGGGTGGGGGGGAGCGGTTCCTGAGTGAGTTCTGCTACACTGAGTCCGTTTCCTGGAAAGGTTGAATTCTTAAGTCAGGATTGGATCCTGTGGATGCCTCAGTTTCTCCACCTGGGAAATGGGGGCATCACAAGGTTCTGAGAACTCTCTCCCATGGGGGAGAGAGACAGGCAGCGCTGGGCAGTGACCGCACGTACACACACCTGGCTTCCATGTCCACCACGTTCAGAGTGTCCTCCAGCAGGCAGGTCTTCAGCTCGTAGTCTTCCTGGCTGCTGGCAGTGAGTGACGGCGATGCGTTGACCTCCAGGAGCCACCTAGGGAAGACAGGGAGGGAGCAGCTGAGTCACTGGGTGCCCAGAGCCCTGTGGTATTTCATTGAGGCAACAGGGGGTGTGGACCCCTCTCCCAGCTCACCAGGGCGGGGGGGGGGGAGACGGTGGGAGAACCCTGCCCTTTAGTGAAAATTCTACTATGGCTGGACCTGGAAAGGCAGAGGGAGGGTGGCCACAGTCAGCTGGAAAAGGCAGCCCGTCATCTAAAGGGCTACAGCCTTGTGGGCGTATGAGCCCAGAATTGTAAGAGCGTATGATTCCCCCCCCCCTGCTTTTTTTTTGGTGCTGGTTCTGAGGCTTGAACTCAGGGCCTGAGCACTGTTCCTGAGTTTCTTTTGCTCAAGGCTAGCATTCTGCCACTTGAACCACAGTGCCATTTCAAGCTTTTTTCTGTGTATGTGGTACTGAGGAATCGAACCCATGGCTCCATGCATGCTAGGTAAACTCTTAACACTAAGTCACCTTCCCAGCCCTTTCAGTTCTTTTTTTTTTTAATCATGTAGCGTCTCATAGACTTTCCTGCCTGAGCTGGCTTAGATCTCAGCCTCCTGAGTAGTTAGGATTACAAGTGTGAGCCATCAGTGCCCAGCTCCATCCTAATTTCTATGTAAACATCCATTTTTAGAGCTTATCGGCCAATTTAAACAGGTAATAACATTCTGAATATCAAATCTGGCCAAGTCACTGCACGTGCAGGCCAAGAGTGCAGGATTCTAACTTGGGATGGTCTCGTGTTCTAGAAAACTCTGTGAGGGTACAGAGAAGGAAGGCTCCCAGCAAAAGACAAGGGAGCATGGACACCCTCCTTTCACAATTTGCCACTTCCTCCCACACTCCCCCCCCAAGTATGCACCCTAAATGTCTGCAGCCATTCTTGCCACAGGGCCTAAAGGAGAGAAATCATGAGTGTGGGCTGGATTAGGGCTTGCTCTTGCGCCCTCCTTCTTGGCTCCCTTGGCAAAGATGTGGTAGGCCAGGGCACCCAGCAGTACTGGGGCGTGGGGGGAGCCCAGTGCAGGCACTGAGACCTGGGGCCTGGCTTTACCCTTGACTTGCCACTAAGCTCAGGCTCTCTGAAGCACCCAGGAGTCTGCACGCCGCGTGCGTGCTGTGCGGCCGTCTCAGTGGTCCCTGCCAGCTCATGCTTGTTCTCTTGCTAACTCCCACCCTCTAGGGTGCTGTGGGAGCGTGCCGCATTCTTGGCAGGGCCTGTTCAAGATTTCCTTACACAGCATTTTGCCTCCTCCATGTGCCAAGACTTCCAGAGGTGAAATCTCTTGCCTGGTATAAAGGGTGTATCTCTGACTCTGCTGACCATCAGAACATGCTCTAAGAGAAAGTGACAGCTCATTTACCGCTAACCAACTTCTAAGGACAGGCATAGGGCACAGATCCATTATACAGACTGGCAATCTAAGGCCCAGCAAAGGTTGGGTGCCCAAGTTTCCACTACTAGGAAGTGGCAGAGCTGGTATCCAAACCCAGGTGGTCTGAGTGGGAAGAACCATGGGCCCCAGTCCTCAGCTCCGCCCACTCACGGCTTGAGGTCCTGGTCGATGAGGATGTCGTAGCCATAGAGCTCGAAGCAGTGCTTGTCGCTGATGATCACTTTCTGCACACTCTGCAGGCTCTTGACAAAGATGTTGTCCATGTCACTGAAGAGCACCTCCACCACCTGGGGGCCGTGCTTGGAGGCCAGGTACTGCCGAAAGCGCTGGAGCATCCACTTACAGCCCTGGAGCCAGCAGCAGGGGTGCAAGAGAGTTATCTGGAGCCCACCAGGGCAAGAGGGGCCCCACCTTGTCTCCCATCGCTGGGAGATGTAGCATAAAGAAAACTGATCTTCCCCTGGGTGCCCTGCACTGACCATGTATGCCCACCACCAGTAAGTGTCCCCAGAGGCCACTGCCCCCACCTCCCCTCCCACTGCTGGGACTGGAGTGTGAGCATGTAGGAGAGGGAAAAGATGGGAGTGGGTAAGAGCTAGGGGCTCACTCTCCTGGGCCCCCTGACCTCAGCCTTAACTCCAAGAAATCTGTATTGGAACCTAGCCTTGCAAGTATAGAGATAAGATACACAAAAAGACAGACAGATGAGAATCTATCAGTATGATAAGTTGATCAATCAACTGATTGATAGGAGAGCTCCAAGATGGAAGAATGGATGGTGTTTTTTGTTTTGTTTTGGTCAGCTGTGGGGCTTGAACTCAGGGCCTAGACACTGTCCCTGAGCTCTTTTGCTCAAGGCTAGTCCTCTACCACTTGAGCCACAGCTTTACTTCCAGCTTTCTGGCATTTAACTGGAGATCAGCATCTCACAGACTTTGCTGCCCGGGCTGGCTTTGAACCAGGATCCTCAGATCTCAGCCTCTCCAGTAGCTAGGATTACAGGTGTGAGCCACCAGCACCTGGCTTGCATTTTGGCTTTAGGGGCAAATTAGTTCAAAGGTCACAGGGTTAGTGGCCTTTGATGCGTCCTTGGCCCTGACTCTCGATGGGAAAGGTGAGCCTGCCCTCGCTGGAAACCATATCCAGTCCTGGGCTCCTTGTCATGCCACTCATCCCGCCCCATCCCATCCCAGGGCTGGACCCAGGGGAGAAGGCAGCGTCCTCACCTTCTTTGGGTGGTAGTCAGGAGACGTCTTTTGTACTGCAACGTTGGTGAGGTGCACATCTGACAGAGGCTGTGGTCAAGGGCCAGAAGGCGCAGGAAGGAAGGACAAGCCCTGCCCCGTGAAGTCCCCAGGGACTGACCCAAGCCTTTGGTTTGGAACTGGGTGGAAACGTCACAAAACAGCTCTCTAAATCAGCATATTTCAACTTTGCAGGCAGAACTTCGCCTGGGTTCAAATCTTAACAGCACCTGGCTTTACAGGCTTATTGAAGGGTCTGATAAAAATCCTGTGTTAGGGCTGGGAAGGTGGCTCAGTGGTAGAGCGCTTGCCTTGCATGCATGAGGCCCTAGGTTCAATTCCTTAGCACCACATAAGCAGAAAAGCCAGGAGTGGCTCTGTAGCTCAAGTGGTAGAGCATTAGCCTTGAGCTGAAGAGCTGAGGGACAGTGCCAAGGCCCAGAGTTCAGGTACCACGACTGACAAAAAAAGAAAAAAAAATCCTGTGTTAAAGAGCCTCTCAGATCACCTGGCATAGTTGATAAGATAGACTTGAATTCAGGGCCTGGGCACTATTGCTGAGCTTTCTCACTCAAGGTTAGTGCTCTACCACCTGAGTCACAGCTCTACTTGTGGCTTTTGGTGGTAAGTTGAAGATAAACATCTCATAGATTTTCCTACCTAAGCTGGGTTTGAACTGAGATCCTTAGATCTCAGCCTCCTGAGTAGCTGGGATCGCAGGCGGGAGCTCCTGGAGCTCTGCAGCTGGTAGGATTTCATTATGAGTTTTCAACTCAGAGACAACTAAACTTCTGACAAAGATAGAGACCAAATCCAGATCAGCCAGCACCATGATGATGATTCAAAAGGAGACTCTGAGGCCTGTGGGCCACCCTGACCCGGCCCCTGTGCAGGACTCCACCTCCAGTGTGACTACAAAGAGCATCCCAGCTGAAAGTTGTCTGGTGACAGGTGGCCTGGCTCTACCCTTCCCTGTCCTGCTCTGTTCCAGCTACATGGGACAGGACCAGACAGGAAAGAACTGGAGGCCACTTCCCTAAGCTCGAAGGAGAAGCAGGACTTCATTTTGAGACTGTGAGCAGCCACACACACACACACACACACACACACACACACACCACACACACACACACACACATATACACACACACACACACACACCAGGCTGACCTACTGCCCACTCTCCCTTTGTCCAGCAACAAAGAGCAGACAACAGTCAGTCTGCAGAGAAATAGAGTTGAGTAGCTATGAAATCTTCAATGGACAGGGGGAGGTAGGGGAAGGAAGAAAGGAAGGGAGGGAGGGAGGAAGGAAGGAAGAAGGAGGGAGGGAAGGAGGGAGGGATGACAGAGGAACTGATGAATTACTATGGGAATCAACTGTAAAAACAGAAATAATCACATCAGGACAAAAATGAAAGGCTAGCATGAAAATCTCATATAAATGATTGACAATAAAACATTATGACCTTAATAAAACTGTGGAAACATAAAAGAGAAAGTGTAACCAGTAGAAGATCATCTGGGAAAGTGCTCAAAGTTTCTAGTCAGAGAAACCATTTCGAGGGTAGTATTCAGGGCATTGAGGGTGGGGTAGGACAGGGTGGGGGAGGCAAATTTCAGGAGATGCAAAATGTAAGGCAAAACCTCCTTTCTCATGCTGTCAGGAAAAAAATCAGAACTCAGAATAGTTGCAAGTAGCCTGAGCAATGTCCACCCTTACTTACATGTGTCCACTGTCTTAGAAATGCCTCCTTAAAAGCTGGGCACTGGTGGCTCACACCTGTAATCCTAGCTACTCAGGAGGCTGAGATCTGAGGATCGAGGTTCAAAGCCAGCCTGGGTAGGAAAGTCTGTGAGACTCTTAACCTCCAGTAAACTACCAGAAAGCCAGAAGTGGTGCTGTGGCTTAAGTGGTAGAGCATTCTCCTTGAGCTGAAGAGCTGAGGGACAGGGCCCAGGCCCAGAGTTCAAGCCCCAAGACCGACAGAAAGAAAAAAGAAAAAGAAATGTCTCCTTCAAGCAGCTGCTCCCAGCACTGGGGATCTGGGATGAAACGGTATGTTCATGGAGAGGGCAGTGAACATGTAAAGAACTCTTCTAGAAAGAATCTTCCCAGATGCCTCTGGCCCAGTATTTATTCTACTGTGACACCATTCAAAAGAAGAAATGTTAAGTACGGTAAAAAGTTTGCCCCACACACTCTTGCTCATGCCCGGATATCTAGCTATATCTCAGGAGGCTGAGATCTGAGGATCATGGTTTGAAGCCAGACAGGAGAGGCTCTTGTCTCCTGAAGGTTTGTTCTGCCAGCACTGCTCTATGTGCCCTGTGTGCATTATTTTAAAAAAAAAACAAAAACTCAGCAATAAAACTAACTACAACTACATCTGATGGCATAGTATGTGATAAATGCTTGTTAGAATTGCACTATAAAATGAACATGCTGGAAATGAGATTGGCAAAGTAGAAAAACCAAACAGAACAACACAGGCAGAAGGGCCTGATCCTCATCCTGCATTCAGGCATTCCCCCCACCCCACCCCACCCCACCCCCCGTGCTCCCTGAAATTGGTGTGGGGGGGTGTGGCAGGGGGGGGAGTGGAGAGAGGATCAGGACACAGATGAGAATTGGCTAACAGCGCTGGCTGGGATCCCCAGCGTTGGTAGGGGTGGGGGGGGGGGAATACCCTCTCTTCATGCAGGTAATGTATGTGCCGACTCAGCAACTATATATTTCTGATCGCCTCCCTTTTCTTCTGAAACCCAGGCCTAAAAATCTTTACAATTTTTTTGCTGTTTTTTGGGGGAGGGGCAGTATGTAGTCCTCCAATTTGAGGTCTTCCTGCCTCAACTTCTTTTTTCCTGGTCCTGGGGCTTGAACTCTGGGCCTGGATGCTGTCCTGAGCTTGTCAGCTCAAGGGGAACGCTCTACCACTTGAGCCACAGCGCCACTTCTGGTTTCCTGGTGATGACCTGGAGATTAGAATCTCATGGACTTTCCTGCCTGGGCTGGCTTTGAACCGTGATCCTCAGATCTCAGCCTCCGGAGTAGCTAGGATTACAAATGTGAGCCACTGGTGGGCAGCTTTGCCTCAGCTTTCTGAATGCTGGGATTACAGGTGTGTGCCACCACACCTGCCAAGACTTTTTTTAAAGAATGTTTCTATTTTGTAGATAATAATATACTTATATGTTCAAAAGTAAAAGAGTACAAAAATTGTATATAAGGAATTATCTTTTTTTTTTTGCATCCCATCCCTACCCAACCATATTTCCTCCCAAAGAAAACTTTTATTTCCAGTCTCTTTTTCCTTCCTTTTTGTGTGTGTGTGTGGGGGGGGCGCAGGGAGGTGGTACAAGGATTGAACTTTAGTCCTTGAGGATGCCAGGCAAGCACTCTGACGTTGAGCTATGTCCCAGTCACGTTAGCTTCTTTCTTCCCTCCCTCCCTCCCTCCCTCTCTTCCTTCCTTCCTTCCTTCCTTCCTTCCGTCTTGAGCTTGCTAGGCAGGTGCTCTATCACATGACCATGCACATCTCCAGTGTTTCCAGCTTTAGCAGAAATGAGAGCATCCTTTCCATTCTCATGACCGCTTACTTTCAGGTAACAATCAATACATCTTGGAGACGGTTCCAGGGCAACACATAAAGCACTTCCCCACTCATTTTAGCAGCTGCATAGTATTCCACTGTACAATGTGCCATCCATCTAGCTTTGCTCTCACAAGCAAGGCAGTACAGGCGTGACCTTTAGTGTGAGTGCACCTGTGGGCATAAATCCACAAATGGCAATTGCTGGATCAGAAGGCACGAGTGTGACTGGCATTGGATAGATATTAACCAGATTGCCTAGCCAAGGCCCTCCCCAGTCTCACCAAGGAAGTGGGCTGTTCCACTTTGTGCTCTGCCAATCAGACGGATAACATCAGAATCATACTGGAATGGATGAGCGAGTAACAAGGGAAAAAGGTGAGTTTGAGGGAAAAGGTGCATAAAAGGGTGTCAATGCAACCAGGAGAGTTGGTATGAAGAATGCCTGTAATCTCAGCACTCAGGAGGCTGAGGCAGAAGGATCATGAGTTCAAGGAAACCTGAGCTAAATAGCAAGCTAAATAGCACCATTTCCAGCTTTTCCTGTGTATGTGATACTGAGGAATCGAACCCAGGGCCTCATGCATGCAAGGCAAGCACTCTACCACTAAGCCACCTTTCCCAGCCCCAGATATGACTGTTAAGCACACTGCCAAGACCATCACCCAGCAACATAGTTCAGGGTGAGCTGCTTTGAGCAGGGGTCACACCCCCATGTCTGGGAGCTCTCTGAGGGAGGTACTGGGCCTGTCTTGTTCACTGATGTATTTCTCACACCCAGACCCAGCAGGCACCCAACACGCATTGGGGGACAGGCCAGGGGGGGACAGGTGTGCAGGGTCGGGTTGGTGGGCTCCAGGATACACTGGTCATCCAGGCTGTTCAGAGTGAAGCGCGTGTTGGAGAAACGGGCGAAGCCATCTCGGTAGAGCCAGGCCCGCAGTGGAATGTACTGAGGTGGGAGAGAGAGAAAAGGCAGGGGCTGTACAGACAAGCACTTCCATACCTCCTGGGCCTGTCTAGCCTCCTCCAGCAATGTCCTTCTTTCTTTCTGCCTTGCCATCAGGGACCAAAAGGACCCGGCCTCTTCTTGCTCTACCACCACATGTGACACTGCCAGACTTCAAGTCCAAGAAGACAGGGGTTGAGCCCACCTAGATACCCTTACCCTTGTGCCCAGCACAAGTAGCCACCATGAAGGTTTCAATATCTGATGAATGGATGGATGGATGGATGAGTGGAGAGAGTACAGCAACTGTTTGTTTAAAAGAGGAGGTTCTGGGCCAGGCTGTCTGGAGTTTAATGCCAGTTCACCACTGCCCTACTGTGGGACCTTGGGCAAGTCACTCAACCTCTCTTTGTCTGTTCTTATCTGTAAAATGAAGATAATAACCTAATACCTCACTGTGTGATTAGGAATGGATGGGATACAGCCTGCTGAATACTAGGACCCGGCACTTAAGAGATACTCAGTAAATGTCCATTGGGGTTGCTACAGGTGAATGAATAAAGGACAAATGAAAGGGCAAAGCTAGATGTCCCAGGGCTTCTCTGGGTAGAGAAGCAAGCAGACAAGTTGATACCATGTTTCCACAATGGCCCCTGCTTGAGGAAGGGGCCCCACAGCTCACCGACATCACCAGCACATAGACACGCAGGTCAAACTTGCGGCCTGTGGGCAGAAAAAGAATGAATTCCTGCAGCATATATTACTGGATGTCAGACTCCATCCTAGGCTGGGGGATCGCCAGGCATGAATGAATCCCTGTGGCGACAGAGCTCCAGCCAAACTTCCCAGGGGACAGGACAGCTGGGGGAGGGATCCCTGCTGGGGAAAGGCTTGAGGTTTCGTGATCAAAGAGGGCTTCATGGGAAATGATGAGTGACAGGCTGCAAGGTGGGCAGGGACAGAGGCCACGATGGGCAAGGAGCCTGGGGCCCAGGGCAGGAAGGAGGTGAGGGGAGGCAGGTGGCAGAGTCAGGTCATATACAGATGAGGTGCATGAGGCTGGCAGGGCCAGTTCCTGTGCAGTCTTTGGGGTCTGTTCTGTAAGCCATGAGGAGCCACAAAAGGGAGACCAAAGTCCCTGGAAATGGTGTTGGAGTGGAGTGGTACCAGAGCAGTGGTACTTGCACCAGGGAGGTCAACACAGCTGCCTGAGGGGACACGGTCAGCAATGGATGGAGGCCAGAAAGGTGGCCAGACAGCTTCTAGCTTCTTCTGGTGAAGAACCAGAGGTAACTACAATGGTTCCTAGATTCTGGCTTAGCCACCTAGGGATTGGAGTTGCTGTGACCCAGATGCACAAGCTGGGGAAGAGCCAGGCTGGGGGAGAGGGTTAAATCTTGGGCACCCTGGGCTGGAGTTGCTGGAAGATGACCCAAGATGTTTGGGGTTCAAGGGCAAGGTCTAGGCTGGAAACAGAAAGTGGGAGTTACTGGTATCTGGGTGGGGGTTAAAGGTACAGACAGGATGGCTCACTGGAGGAAGGAAGAGAAGAGACAAGACCCAGGAATGGTCATTGCCCATGGACGTAGCAGAGGCATGAAAACAGTTGCAAGGCCCCCCAGGTCAGCCCATGTCTCCAGGCCTGCAGTCATAGACCCCATGGGGGAAAGGCAGGCACAGGGTTGGCCTGAGGACAGGTTTGACTTTGTCATGCCCTCTCCCTGTGTTCAATGGCCGAGCCCACCCATGGGGGACTGCTTGAAATCACTCAGGTCTCAGATCCTAACCTCATGACACCCTATGTTCCTCCATAACACCCAACTCCGTGCGGGACAGTTGTTGATTTCTACCTCCTAGCCTGTGGCTCGGCTAGGGTACAAGTTCCATGAAAGCAGGACAGCTGACCAGAGCCCCAGACAGGGGAGGGGATGCCCAAAACAGAGGCAGCAGACACCCAGGGGAGCCTTGGAACTGCTTGTTAGCTGAAGGCAGGAGTGAAGGAACTGGTTCTCCACGGAAGAGGAGAATGTTTGAGACTCCTGTCAGGCAGGAACCATGTGGCAGCAGGTGGGAGCGGGAAGGTCTCCCCGCTCTCTCCTGCTGTCAGGCTGGGCCCTGGGCAGTCTGCTAGCCAAGGCCTTTTGACCTGACTGCATGACTGACAGGCAGAAGTGGGTTGTGGCAGCCGGGGGGAGGGAGGGGTCGGGGGTGGCGGGTGCAGATAGGAGCCATCTTACCACCTATCAGGTACGGATTTTCAATGTAACGCTGAGCTACGTAGTTCTCCACAGGAATCTCATCTTTCTGGTCATCGGAACTGCGTGTGTCCTAGTTGTAAAAATATCAATAACATTTAGCCAGCCCTTCCTGTGTACTAGGCAAAATATGAAGCACTATGTCTAGGCATATACAGGTCATTATGTCTTTGGGGCATATTGGTTGGACCTTAAATCAGCCCTCTTATGCAAGTATTAATGTGATTGCCATCCAATGAGAAATGGAAGCACAGAGAAGCTTAGCCAAGGTCATACAGCTGATGAGTGGTACAGCAGGGGTGTGGATCCACACAGTTTGGGCCCTGGGCCTGAGCATTTAATCTCTAGACCTGTGTGGTACTCGTTACTTGACTTATGTAAGTCTAACTCCTCTGTACATCACCTTTGTAAAACAATTTTAAAAAACAAAAAAAATTTAAATGACTAAAATGATAAAGGTAATGTCATATGTGGTTTACCACAATTCTTAAGGGTGCTGGAAACCAGGACTTCCAACATGTTTAGCGTACCCCCATCCCTTGTACAATTTTTACAGGGGAAACGAAAGTTTAACAAGGGGCCAGCTGTTAGCCTGGGTGCCCAGCTGTCACCTTTGCCATCGCTGCAGAAAGTTCTAGCTGTGGTGCTGCCCTCAGACATGGCAGCCCCAGGCCCCGGGCTGTCCTCTCCCTCCCCAACCTGCCAGCCCAGTTCTGGACCACAGCAGAGCTGGGGAGGCAGGTGCACCCACACGCATGCGCGCATGCTCCCCACCCAACTTGAGGTCCTTTCCTACCCATTGTTTCGGTCCTTTCCTGCCCGTTGTCCCCTTGCAAGCGATCTTGTGAGAACTGCGACCTAAGACAAGGGTCCTCAAGGGTCCTTGTGGTGGACTCAGGGCTTCCTTCCAGCTCTGGGGCATGTCCCCCCTTCCCTTTTGGGGACCCTGGTCTCTCCCCTTGCTACTCACATGGCTGCCTGCGGGATTGCTGGTGCTGCTGCGGGGGGCCGGGGCCTCCAGGCTGGTGAGCTTCTTTCCCACAGTGCCCTGACAGTGATGGAGGAACGAGGAACAGGGACACAGGGTGTAAGGGGAGAAGCATTGATTGAGCACCTGCTGTAGCCTGGGAGCTGGGTCAGCCTGCCCTTCCCTGTCCATGAATGCATCTGTATCCTGGGTGGGCTGTGCCCAGGCGAGGTCACTTGCCCAATGCCACACAGCTACGGAGGGGCCACATCAGGATCTGAACCCAGACCATGTGTTCCGGAGACTTCTGCTCCTGTGGCAGGCCTGTGGGCAGAGCTTCCTGCCAGCAGTCTAGGGCAGGCAGGGCAGAGGTTTGGAGAGGAAGGGGAAGAGGCAGGCTCACCTTCCTCCAGTCCATGATGTCCTTCAGCCTCCGGAAGAGAAAGATGCCCTTCCCCTGAGAACGGGCTACCTGGGATGGTGCGGAAAGGCTGCTTTAGCTCTGAGGTTCCTTGCTGGTCCTCTCACTAGCATTTCTCTAGCCATCTCCCCCGTGGGCTCCCAGCGATACCCAGAGGAATGTCCAGCTCAGCCTGAAAGGACTAGAGCAGGGAGAACTGGCAGGAGGGGGACCATTTGCATGAATAATGCAAAAGAACAGACAATTAAAAAACCATTTCTAACAGTCCTGGGAACATATCATCCAATTCTTTTTTTGGAAATCAATTTGCCTTCCTAATTAGGTTTTGCTTCAGCTAATAGTCAAATCAGTCTGCCTCTGCTGAGCCCCTGCATGGATAATTCATGGCTGCACAGAGGCAAGGGGCTGGGAGGGTCTTTAATACTTTGCACAGTGGCCCTCCTCCCCCTCCCCACCCCACCCCCTCCTGCTTGTCACCCTCCTGTGAGAAAAGCCTCCAGTGGGAGCCTCCTGCCTGGTCTTGCACACACACAGTGCCCAGGAGCTCACCACCCTACCAGTCTCCCAACTTAGCCCATTTTATTTCAGGAAAGCTTTGTTAAGCAAACAGCTTTGTTCCTTGTTCCGGGCAGTATGCTACAGGTGAAACTTACACCTCATAGAATTTCTGCAGCCTAACCAACATGGAGTTCAAATTTGCCAACTGGGCTGGCTTTTCCAGCTTCCAAGAACAAATCTGACACTTGGAAGCCAGGAGTCCTTTTGTTATCCAAGCCTTTAAGCGTGTCAGCATAAATGCACCCTACAGGTACAAACTCCCACTCCCCAAGTTCTCCTGTATGCATGGTCTACTGGGGCTGCTCATGATAGGGCGCCTGCTCTGCCTGCCATGCTGTGCACCCTGCCTCGGGACACACCCTGTGGGTCGCCAGTGACATCAGAGGCAGCCAGATGTGACCAGTGACTTTGGAAAACAATAAATCAGTGCACATCAAAGGCTTCCAACCATCCACAGCCTGGAAAAAGAGGCACTTGGAAGAATGCTATCCATCTTCTATAATGCCAACTTATAAAGTACTACAATTACTGAATCAGACCAAATAAATATATCTTATTTGTGGCTTAGGGAGTGAGTGTGTGTGTGTGAGTGTGTGTATGTGAGTGTGTGTAAGGAAGTCTGAGGGGGAACTGCTGAGGTACTAGTGATACTGTGTTTAAGACCTGGGTGCTTGTTCGCAATAGCTAGGATATGGAAACAACCCAGATGCCCCACCACAGATGAATGGATCCAAAAATTGTGGTATCTATACACAATGGAATATTACGCAGCCATTAGAAATGACAAAATAATGGCATTT